AATGTCCAATAGGCACTCTCAGTTCTACCGTGCTAACAAGATAAGCGCCAGACTAACAAAGATGACCAGAGTTGTGCAATTAGGAACGAAGTCCTAACTAGGAATGGTTAAGGGGGCTAACAAAGATTACTTTGTATTTCAAACGTCTCCCTTTTTATATTCTATGCAGACCAAGTGGATGCAACCAATTAGCCAATAGGAGCTCTTTGTACCTCTGCTTTAAAGAGATAAGTTCTAGATGAACAAAGGTGACTTGAGTATGATACTAGGAATGAAGTCCTTTGAACCTTTAATAATATCTCATCTCCCTTTCCCCTTCTGTACTGATTGATGGGGCATGACATTTAATCCTATACAGAATCACTGCACAGTTGCCTAAACTATCATGAAATGACTCGCTCTCACCACCCATGTGGTTAAATATTTCTCAGAGGTGTGGGTGCCAGCTGGAACATGAAATGTGCGGGATGAAGATTCCTTTTCATCTTGTGCTCCAAGATTTAGTCTATGGATAATGGAGCAAGTAATTAAGGAATTCATCTGCAAACACTTGGAAGATAACAAGGTGATAGGGAACAGCCAGCATGGATGTGTAAAGAACAAATCATGTCAAACCAATCTGATAGCTTTCTTTAATAGGATAACAAGTCTTGTGCATAAGGGAGAAGAGGTGGATGTGGTATATCTAGGGTTTAGTACAGCATTTGATACAGTCTCACATGATATTCTTATCAATAAACTAGGCAAATATAACTTACCTGGGGCTACTATAGGGTGAGTGCATAACTGGCTGGATAACCAGTCTCAGAGAGTAGTTATTAACAGTTCACAAACCCGCTGGAAAGGAACAACAAGTGGGGTTCTGCAGGGGTCTGTTTTGGGACCAGCTCTGTTCAATATCTTTTTCAATTGTTTAGATATCGGCATAGAGAGTACGCTTAGAAAGTTTGCAGATGATACCAAGCTGGGAGGGGTTGCAACTGCTTTGGAGGATAGGGTCATAATTCAAAATGATCTGGACAAATTGGAGGTAAACAGGATGAAGTTTAATAAGGACAAATGCAAAGTGCTCCACTTAGGAAGGAATAATCAGTTTCACACATACAGAATGGGAAGCGACTGTCTGGGAAGGAGTAAGGCAGAAAGGGATCTAGGGGTTATAGCGGACCACAAACTAAATATGCGTCGACAGTGTGACGCTGTTGCAAAAAAAAAAAAAGCAAACATGATTCTGGGATGCATTAACAGGCGTGTTGTGAGCAAGACACGAGAAGTCATTCTTCCGCTCTACTCTGCACTAATTAGGCCTCAGTTGGAGTACGGTGTGCAGTTCTGGGCACCACATTTCAAGAAAGAGGTGGAGAAATTGGAGAAGGTCCAGAGAAGAGCAACAAGAATGATTAAAGGTCTAGAGAACATGACCTACGAAGGAAAACTCAAAGAATTGGGCTTGTTTAGTTTGGAAAAGAGAAGATTGAGAGGTGACATGATAGTGGTTTTCAGGTATCTAAAAGGGCGTCACAAGGAGGAGGGAGAAAAATTGTTCTTCCTGACTTCTGAGGATAGAAGCAGCAGCAATGGGCTTAAACTGCAGCAAGGGAGGTTTAGTTTGGATATTGGGAAAAAGTTCCTGTCAGGCTGGTCAAACATGGGAGTAAATTGCCTATGGAAGTGGTGGAATCTCCTTCTCTGGAGATATTTAAGAGTAGGTTAGATTGACATCTATCAGGGATGGTGTAAATAGTACTGGGTCCTGCCATGAGGGCAGGGGACTGGTCTCAATGACTTCTCGAGGTGCTTTCCAGTCCTACTATTCTATGATGATGATAAGCTGACACTTGAGAAAAACTTGACACAACAAGCTAAGGTCATTTTTAATATGGTCAATTTCTTACCATCCAATTGTGTAAAGTTGAAAGCCCATGTCCTCATTGTGGGGATAAATCAAATGTAGTTGGAAGTAGCAAATCCATGTAGGAAGCCTACCATCCACTCAGAGAGCAATGCACCATGGGTAGCTTTGCATGCTGGGCTATGCTCATAGTGCCCGCTGTGACCAAAGCTGTGCGGAGGCTGGCTATTGGCTCATGCCTCCAGCATCCCATAATACACTCACCTCGTCCCTCTGCCCCGCAGTGTGATAAAAGGGAGGCAGTGTGTTCATGCTTTTAGGGGGTCTCCTTGTCTTCACAGTCGTCAGGAAGACGAGCCTGGAGCCCGGTTTGCCACAGCCATCGTGAGGCTGATGTGTGTGTCGTGGGACTTTGAAGGATGCGGTGCTTGGACAGCATACGCCAGGCCATCTAAAAGGAAGAGGATTAGGAGAAAGCTGAGGGTGGCATGGAGGACCTGCACAGCCACCATTCAATCCTCTGGACACAGTGCAATGCCGGTCCTGGCGCCGTAAAACCCACTCTGGCTATGGAGAAGCGTGTGGCAATTACCCCTTGGAAGCGTGCAGCGCCAGACAGCTTCCGATCAGCGGCCAATCAGTTCGGAGCAAGGAAATCTACAGTGGGGCCTGCTGATGCACAAGTAGCCCAGGTGATCGATGCCCTTGTGCTACAGAGGGTTGGGATTCTGGGAACTGTGGACACCATAATGCACGACTTTGCTGTGGTGGGGCTCCCTAACTGCCGTGGGACCCTACGTGGAGCGCACCTCCCCATCTTGACCCTTGAGCACCTTCCCCATGGCTCTTGAACCTGTACACGGGCGGCCCAGACACCAGCCTGGAGGAGTTCAACAACAAGCTGAGTGAGGGCAGGATGGTGGTCGAACGTGCATTTGGACGTTTAAAGGGAAGGCTCAGGAGTCTCCTGATTCGGCCTTGATTTCAGCAAAGGCAACATGTCCCTTGTGGTGGCAGGGTGTTGTACGCTCCATAATCTCTGCGACAGCCAGGGGAAAATTTATCTGTCAGTGTATGGGGCTGAGGCAGAGCGCCTCACCAGAGAATTTGAGCAGGCAGACAACAGCTCGGTAAGAAGAGCACAGCGAAGGGTAGGGAAAATCAGAGAGGCTTTGAAGCCAGTATTTTGAGCCTCTTCCACGTGGCTCTCCACAAGTTGCCTCTGCATTCCTTGTGTTTGCCTTTCATCCCCCACCCAGCCCTGCAGTTCAACCAATAAAGAGACCATTGTTCAAAGAACGGGAGGTTTTATTTGGGGGCAGCAGCAGGGGAAGGAAAGAATTGGGAACCAGAACGGGGAGGAGGGCTCAGGAACGTGAATGCCCCAAACTAATCCATCTTTCTCTAAGTAACAAATTTACACAAAGAAAGTTCAAAGGACGTTTGGCCACTTTCTCAATGAAAGAGAGAATATGCGCACCAATTGCACCCACAGGTAATAATTATTTACACTGGGCTTGACAAAAGTAGTACAAATAGTAGACAAAAGTGACCGGATTAAATAAAACCATAGGATTTAAGTGTTTGCAAGTGAAAACAGACAGATCAAAGGAAGCTACCGAATAAAAATAAAAAGACACTCACAGCTAATTCTAATGCATCATAGCGCACTGCAAACTGACCCTGGCTGCCAAATGAGAGTGGGGGGCTGCAGAGAAGGGTTGGGCATGCGAACAGTTTTGGTTCTTCATTCAGACCCTGCTTCCCTGTGTTAACACTGCGCTTCCTTTTAATGGCATGAAAGAACAGGGCAGGGAGAACTCTAGTTCTAGCCAAGCCACAGAAAACTCTGCAAGATGTTGAGCCCCAAGTGTTGTATCATCGCGATTGGGTGATTAGCGCTCAAGGGCCAGACACTGTTACCAACTCTTGGTCAATGACAAAGTTTCCATAATTGTCAACTGCACCAAAGCTGACCTGAGAACTCATGCGGCGTCTGTTCCCACATGTTTTCTCCACCCAGTAAAACAAAGTGTCAGGCTTCTCCTCCCCGGGAATTTGCACCCTGAGAGGAAGAAAATGGCTGGAATCTGACTCCCGTTGAGGCCAAATCAGCACAGAGCAGAGCGGAAGAATCACCTCTCATGTCTTGCTCACAACGCTCCTGTTAAGGCCTCCACGAATGTTTCCTTTTTTTTGCAACAGTATCACACTGTTGGCTCGTACCTGAGGTCCACTCTGACCCCTAGATCCCTTTCTGCAGGACTCCATCCTACACAGCCTTCCCCTTCTGTGCTTGTGCAACTGATTGTTCCTTCCTAAGCGGAGCACTTTGCCTTTCTCTTTATTGATCTTTACCTATTTACCTCAGACCATTTCTTCAGTTTGTCCAGATCATTTTGATTATGACCCTGTCTTCTAGAGCACTTGCAAGCTCCCTGGGTTGGGATCATCTGCAAACTGTCTAAGCGTTCTCTCTATGCCATCACCTAAGTGGTTGATGAAGCTATTGATCAGAACCGGTTCCAAAACTGATCCTTGCACAACCCCACTCATTATGCCCTTCCAGCATGGCTGCGAATCATTGATAACGACTCACTAAGAGTGGTTATCCAACCGGTTAAGCAACCACCTTATGGTACCCCCATTGACACTGTATTGCCCTAGTTTATTATTAAGAAGATCATGCGCGACTGTATTAGGTGCTTTTCTTATGTCTAAGTACAGCACATCTACTGCTTCCCCCTTATCCTCAAGGCTTGTTATTCAGACAATTTAGCTTCCTTAGCAGCTGGGAGGGGTGCCCAGCAGCCATGCAGAGAGAGAGGATCGGTGAGGGGCCCAGTGGCTAGGGAGCTCTGTAGGGAGGAGGGGAAGGAACCTGCAAAGGAAGCAGCACAGCACCTGGGCTCTCCAGAGGGTGGGGTTGGGCACGTTCCAGCATCTCCTGCTGGAGAAAAGTGCAGCAGCTGGAAGTGACTGAGTGAACTTGAGCTTTTATATTCCATGCAGGTTCTGGGGCTCCCCACATTCACTGGTACGGCTACGGGACGTCCAAGGCACCGAGGGAGCCAAAAAACCAGATAAAGACTTCCCAGCCACCCTGGAACCTGCATGAACTATAATACAAATTTCTGCAAGCGTGAAGGATGGGGAAGGGAAGAGGTGAGGCCAACATGACCTCAGCATTCAGTGGTGCATCTACCTCTGCTGTGAACAGACACTGCATTTCTGTGCCTTCCAGATGCACTCCCCGTGTACTGAGGTAACCTTTACCGACAAAGTACACGGAGCTGATATGGTTTTGGATGATTGCCCACAGATGATGATGCTGGAATAATATCAATATCTTTGGGTTCAACAATTGGTTTCAGGGTGAAGTTCTGTAAAATCGCCGTGAGTATCAAAAAGAGCTCCATGCGAGCCAGGCCCTCTCCCAAGCAAATCCGTTTCCCTGCAAGGAAACGAAATTTTGAGTTGAGGCAGGAGATCTTTCTTTGCAGCACATTTTAAATACAGTTGTTATGGAAGCAACAGCTCCGGGTTAAGGTTAGATGCACACAGAGATTGAAGATACTGGCCGTTCCCTCAGAGATCTTGAAGGTGTGAAAGAAGATCAGAGCAACTGTAACCAGTCAGCCTAGAAAGACACCAAAACTAACTAAATCCAATTCAAGGTATGTAGGTGATAAAAGATTGATGAGGAAAAGCCAAGCCGGTGTGGATTTGTGAAGAACAAATCAAGCCAATTCAGACCAAAGGACTTCTACAACAGGGTTAGCAGCCTAGCGGAGAGAGGTCCCTACAAACTAGGGGAATGTGGTCTAGATGAAGTTACTATTCGATGGTTGACCTTTCAGTTGTTGAAAAAGTACCTATCTATAGTTTGTTGCAGAGTGGTTGATATTTTCATGAATGTCTCGGTTAATAGAATTCAGTGTGAGTCTCATATTTGTACAACTATTCCATGAGCTGTAGCGGCAAAGCAGTGGTACTGCTGAAAGGGATTAAGGGGTGGATCACACATTAAATAGACCTAAAGCGTGTGATTTAGTTGCAGAAAAGGCTAAAAACATTCTGGGATGTATTAGAGGGCGTGGGTTATGCAAGGCACGGCAGGGCATTCTCCTGCTCTGCTCAGCACTGGTGAGGTCTCCACTGGAGCAGCCTGTCCCATTCTGAGCTCCTCGCTATAGCAATCGTGGATACATTGGAGAGATTTCAGAGTAACACAACAAAATGAATCATGCTTGAAGGTTTACAAAAGCTGATCCCCAGACCAGTGTGGTCATCAGACACGATGACAGACCAGAGATACAGTAAAGAGACTTCAGAGGACGGGAATTAATTGTTCTCCTTTTCCCCCTGATGGTAGGACAAGAATTAATGGGTTTACTCTGCAATCGGGGAGATTTAGGTTAGAGATTAGAGAGGAAAATTAAAAATAGGGCTAGACAACCTCTAGAACAGGCTTGCCAAGGAGGCTGTGGAATTCCTGTCACTGGAAGGTTTTAAGAAGAGGCTGACAAACACCAGTGAGGGATGGTCGATATTTACATGGTCCCACATGACTACAAAACTGGCTACTCTAGATTTGGTATTCCCTTCGATGTTAGCTTTGTCTGCACCTTTCACCACGGATTAATTTACACCAGACAGACAGCACACAAAGAAAGACCAGAAGTTTTCAGGTGACGTGAAGCAAAGGGAGTGTATGCCTAGTCCAAACACTTCCTTCAGACCAATAAGCAGGAAGAGACAGTGGCGCAAAGACTGATAGCTGCTTTGCTAGTGTGACAGATCCTTCCTCATGAGCCACCCAAAACGCTGCGCACAAACCAGTCTGAGAACAACCAGGGAAAGTTAGGAGACAGGCCGGGATCTGAAACAAAAGCAGCTTCTTTTACCTGCAGAAAACGGCATGAAGAAATCGCTTTTCTTAAAGGCACCATTTTCGTCCAGGAAGTGTCCTGGGTTGAATTGCTCTGGGTTTGGAAATTCCCTGCTGTCATATAGAACTGACTTCAGGACAGGGAATATCGTGGTGCCCTGAATTAGCAAAAGCAGAAAAAAGACTTAAGGTGGAAATTCGCCAAAAGAGAGAAGCCTTCAAAATTCACTTGACTGTTGGACTGATCTTTGTTTTTCTTCATTTTTGTGAATCCCCTCCACACATGCTTTCAAACAAAGCAGAAATAACATCTCATGAGCAGAGCGAATTCCGCTGAAGTGCAGTCCACACTTGACACTACTCACTGACAGAGATGGGATACACGGGGTGTCTTTGGACAGGTCATTTTCAGTCTCAGATCCCTTGTTACTGCGTTTGTAAATTGGGGATAACCATAGTACAGTCTCTGTGTAAAGTGCCGTAACATAGAGGAGATAATTTTTTCCTATTACTCAGTGTATCTGACCTAAGAACATAAGAACAGCCACACTGAGCCAGACAAAAGGTTCATCTAGCCCAGTATCTGTCTTCCGACCACGGCCAATGCCAGATGCCCCACGGGGAATGAACAGAAGGAGGAATGATCAAGAAATCCCTTTCCTGTCACCCATTCCCACCTGGTCTAAATGCACTGATGGTCCTGATTTCCATGAATCTATCTAGTTCTTTTTTGAACCCTGTTAAACTCCTGGTCTTCACAACATCCCCTAGCAACTTGTTCTTCAGGTTGACTGCGCGCTGTGTGTTTGTTTTCAACCTGCTACCAATTAATTTCATTTGGTGAGCCCTAGTACTTATGCTGTGGGACTAGGTAAATAACTTTTCCTTATTCTCTTTTTCCGCACAAGTCATAATTGTATAGACCTCTATCATATCCTGCCTTAGTCAACTCTTTACTAAACTGGAAAGTCCCAGTCTTTTTAATCTCCAAACCCCTCATCATGTTACCTTTTTAAAAACATTTTCCAAAGTCAATATATTCTGTTTAGATGAGGCAGCTACATCTAAATGCAGTATTCAAGATGTCGGCGCACTATGGTCACATACAGAGGCAATAAGATATTCTCTGTCTTAGTCTCTACCCCTTAGTTAATGATTCCTGACATTCTGTTTGCTTATTGACTGCTGCTGCGCAGAGGGATATTTTCAGAGAACTATCAACAATGACTCCAAGATCTCTCTCTTGAGTAGTTGTAGCTAGATTAGTTAAATCAGCAACATACCCCACAAATGAGAGAGAAGCTGCATTAAAGGAATTAGTCAGAGGAAGGTCTATGAGCCTTCCTTCCTACAAAGGAAATCAAAGTAGATGATCACAGTGGAGAGTTTGGGAGGGTTTTTTGTTGTTGCTTGCTTTGGAAAACCTGAACACTTCCAACGTCTGTTCTTCTTTAGGTAGAGACTGAGAGAGACTCAACAATACCTGGACCATGACTGATAAATCAGTAAACACACCCACCGCACCAATCACGTTGAAGGAATAATTTGAAATTAAACAGAGAGAAGAGTAAACAAACTTGACCTTTAACACGCAGGCATTCGGAACTGACCTTGGGAATCACGTACTGCCTGAGATGAACATCTCTAGCCACAGCATGTGGGAAACCTATAGGCGCAAGTGCAAGGAATCTCTGGATTTCATGTACCACGGCATCTGTGTAGGGCATCTGGCTTCGATCCGCCATGCCGGGGCTTCGGCTTCGGCCAATCACACTGTCAATCTCTTCGTGAACTTTCGCTGTAACCAGATGAGTGAGGTTTAACAGTAACAGTAAATTCCTACAGATTTTCCCACCGTTGTGTCACCCCCCTTCTGCTCTGGGCATAGTCTCGAGCACTGGCCGAGCTTTGAGTTCCACAATCCTGACACCGGCAAGCTGATAACTTCGGAAGATGCGATGACTTTGCCAGTCCACTCCACCTGCAGCTTGCCTGTTACTCTCAGAGCTGGCACAGCCTGGCCAGTGTCAGCCGAGACTGCCTCCACTTCACGGCCCGCCCCTGCCTGGGAGCATCAACTCTGGTCTGGATCTGAGAGAGGAATTCACTCCCAACGGCTCATTCAGCCCTGGGGCCCTTTGCTCAGATGGTCAATACAGGCACAAGACTGCCCATTGCAATGGGGCTATTCCAATGAGAACTCCTGCCTGCGGGGGCCCGGGGCAGGACCCATCTTCTACTCACTTCCCTTAACCAATGAACTACCACCATGTGATAGCAACATGGCTCACTGCCAGGTGATCTGGTGGCTGAAGGGGACACACTGGGTATCCATTTCTTGCTCCAGGCATTTCTCACGTCTCCCCCACAAAGCTCAGCGGCTTTCTTTCAGTGATTCCCTTTGACATTCCGGTTGCTCCCAATGGAAAGCTGAGGTCGTTATTTTACTGCTTCTCAACCCCAAAATTATAATGTGTTCTTTCCTAAATAAATCTATTGACACCTGAGACTTTTTTCCCCAATTCCCAGAGTGACGTGATTTGGCCAGATTGCTACTCTTAGAACAGGACTCTTTGCTCACTTCTTTCGTATTTGAGAATGCCCTTGAAAAAGACCGTGTTTTGAGGGCAATTTAAGATGTATAGTGTTATGTTATATTGTCAATATAGATCTTATTGTTGTAAACAGGGCCATTGTACTATAAAACAAAACAGTTCCAAGGGGCAAAAAAAGGCTTTGAGATCAGTCATCTGTAAATGCAAATTGTGTTGTTAAAATTGTTTAGTGTTTTGAAACGTTACATCTTTACTATCTTGAACTGAAGTGTGTTTTCTCTTGTTATATAGAAATATAAAGGCACCGTATAAAGAAATAACAATGGTCAAGAATTTATTTCCAATGGCTGATTAACTTACCAGGAAAAGAAACACACCTGGCATTGAAAAATGGTGGTAACATTTGTATCTACTGTAAAGGTAGGAAAACTATGATAGCCAATTTATTATAATATTTTCTAATTATCACTGATTATTTTCAGGAATAACGGCATTGTGCAAGAGGGTTTTTCTTGCGCAAGAAGGGGCAGTGTAGACAGCTCCTTTTTGCGCAAGAGCCTCTTCCGCAAAATTCCGGCTCATTATATATGCAAATGAGGCTCGGCAATATTCCACTCTTAGCCTCATTTGCGTAGCTCTAGCGCAAGATTACGCCAGTGTAGACATAGCCTCAGAGTTCTCATGTGCCGAAATAGCTGTTGAGATCATGGTTAAAGCTGCTCCCTCCCAAACATATCCCAAATGTTCTCTGGATCTGCGACTGAAATCACGTGTGTGTTGTTACCTTCTATTTCTGGGAATTTCAGAAGAACCAGGAGTCCAAAGCATAGGGTGTGGCTGACGCTTCCTGTTCCACCGAAAAATAACCCAACTGTACTTTGTAGCATACTTTCTTCTGTAAATATTGTGTCGCCATTCTTTTGCCCCTGAAAAACAATTTGGGGAAGGCGTTTCAGGTTTGACTGAAAAGCTGTAAGAAATATTCTTATCAGGCCATAAAATAATCATCTTCTACCCAACAGGAGACCAAACTGCTGTCATTATAAAAACCTCAAATAAATGGCCCATGGCACCACAGATTACAGCGGCATTACTGCAGTACTTGGGCCTTTCAATATAACAGCTGATTTTTTTTTTACTTCATAGGAAGCAGGAGAACAGAGCAGTATAGCGTACTTTCCTTCAGTATAAACCATTTCTTCCCTTCGGGCGTCTCAACAGCCATGCCCCAGGTCAATATTAAACAAATGTATCCCCGGGAGATGTTCAGCCCCCACCAAATGTACGGATGTTATCGGATAGCCCAGTCGATAGAGCCAGCAAAGGAGGAGGGGGGAAGAGGGTACTTCAAAGTGGCGCTGTGGAACCCGGGCATCTGCTGAAATGCTGCGGAGAGACCGGGATCTGCTGGGGAGACTCCAGCAGAACCTTGCTCTGTGCTGCATTTCAAATTGGCAGTGCAGCAGGGAGGCCAGTGTCAGAGGGGGACTCTTGTACATTTCAAAGCAGGCACACTCTCATGCTGATTTTTTTTTTAAACTTCATAGGAAGGAGGAGAACAGAGCATTATAACATACATTCCTTGGGCACAAACCATTTCTCCCCTTCGGGTTTTCCTACGGCCATGTTCTATGCCATTATTGAACAAATTAAACCCGATGAGATGCGCAGCTCCCACCACAGTAGTGGGGATGAACTGCTGCCCTCACTTACCTCTTGGATTTTGATGAGGAAAGCATCGATGAAGTCCCGAGGGCAATTGGGATCCAGAGACGCTTTATGTGTGTTCACTCTCTCCCCAACAAAGCTTCTGAACTCATCAAATAATTTAAATAGCCTTTGGTGAGGTCCAGGAACGTAATCCATGAGTGTTGGGAAAAAATTGTACAGCTATAAAGATTGAAAAAAAAAACATAGGTTGATTTATCTGGACTCAAGAGACAAGGATAGTCTCACTAGTCACCCCAAAGACACAACTACAGCCATACAATTAAATACTTTTAGGGAGCCTTCTAATCAAAATCAAAATTCAACAGAACGTTGCAAGTTCGAAGTAAGACTGTATAATACAGACACAAATTCCCCAGAAAAACTGCACCAAGGTTTAGTTATGTCACCTAAGACATACTCCATTTTTTCCAACAAATCACACATTCTTCTCCTGAAGAAAAAACCCACGGAAATGCCTAGCCTTCCCTCCTGCCACAGATTTTCTTAGGTAGCAATCCACCATTATGAACTCTAAAAGGAAAATATGCATTCAAGTTTCTGAAGCGGAAGTTGCAGGGCCAGACTGTCTGTTAATGTATCTTCATTAATTTTATCTGAATCACATCAGCAGAACGTTTGGCCTTTCACCGTGCATTTGGGGAGGCTCTCAGAAAAGGGGAGCGCGCTTACGGGGTGGTATGAAATGGAAGTGAAAGGAAGTTGGCTTTGGAGATGGGGAATGGTGAAAGGAAGTTTGCTGTGGAGGTGAGGAATGTAATTACATTCATAAAGCCAATTATGATCGGTGTTGGTATCACTGTATTTATTGGCGATTTCCCTGATTTTTGCCATTTGTATTGATAGACAAAATACTCAACAAACCGAATTCTGAGATGAGAATGTGTTTTGTAAGGGAATTTAAACTACCCTCAGAAAGAAGTTGGTGGAGTGTCAGTTTGGTTGTAGCAGTAGTCCAATGAAAAAATGAGGACGATTCTGGGGAATCGGATATAAAAATGTTTAGGGAAAATTAATAAAGTCAGAAATCTCCACCTCCTCTCTCTGCACAGTCGATATGAACACAACAAATCCCTCAACATACCACTATCCAAGGATCCTGCTGGACTTTGCCATTTTCCAATATGAGATTAATTAAAGTAACAAAGTTCTCCTCTTCATAGTCAAACCGGTCCCCGAAGACGATGGAGCAGATGACATTGGAGACGACGTGGGCGAGGAGGAGGCTGGGGTCAAAGGACCGCTCTGGAGGGAACCAAAACTAAAAGGAGTCAGTTTTACAGCAAGGACTTCTCCCTCCACACTAGAGTTAGAGGCAGCACTGGGATACTGGGGGTCTCACAGCAATATGCCCTGGGTAGGGGGACTTATAGGGGTTAGGGCTGCCCGTCTCACACACGCCATGAAACAAGCACTTCCTATCTTTTCCTTGGCAATCCAGCTGCAGGGTGTTTGCTGTGCGGCTCCCTGCCTGGCCCATTTTGGCCCTGCATATGTCCACAGGAGTTTCAAACATTCCCATAGGGCCCTTCGCTCTAGAAATTTCTATAATCAAGCATGTGTCAGACTTGGAGCAGGGAAGAAAATGAGAATTAGCAAACCATAGGAATAGGTGGCTTGTGAACCCAGCACACTGGAACTAACCCTCTATATTACAGATAACTGTGTACACACTCTAGACAAGCATCATCCATTTGATCATTTGTCACACACCACAGGGGACAAATGTGAAAAAGCAACAACCGGAAAGGGTCATCTCTGGCACATTTCACCCATCCTTTTACTTGACATCACTACCGGCCTCTGTCTGGGCAGCTCACGGCTTCAGTTATGAGATGGTTGAACCAAACTAACAACATCATGAAAAGCAAAGACAAGAGGTGTCTTTCTGCTCAGTGTTCAGTGGACAAGAAACAATCCCCACCGTGCGTGTTTCTGAGTCTTTCCACCAGAAAACGGGTTTCCTCCTGGATCCGCTCCTCAATGCTTTTCTTCCCCATCCCAAAGTCTCTCAGGGTCATAAGGGCAAATCGCCGGAGCTGCTTCCACGGCTCCCCATTGGTGAAACCAATACCTGGAAAAGAGTAGAGAACAGGCCTGAAAGGAGGGAAGCCCAACTGTCTGTCTGTCTGTTTGGCAAACAACCAAACATGCCTGAGCCAAAGGTTCAGCTTCAACTTCAGCGTCACAGACTTTGTGTCTATGCTCTCCGACTTTTCCTAGTATTAACAAAACTCTGGCACTTTTCTCGCCAAACAAATAATATCAGTCCTATATGCAGATGTTATTCCATCCACACGTACCCGTTCCCTTGGTAGCTTTTTCAAATAGTGGTATTTTTCCTCTTCTGCTGAACTCGTCCCCAAGATCGACCAGAGCTTCCTTCACTGCCTCATATCCATGCAGCACCACAACCCGCTCGGAGCCCAAGTAGATCGTGAAAATCGAGCCGTACGTTCTACTGAGCTGTAAGAATTGAACAAAAAGGCCAATGTGTGTTAACTTAGACCCACTTCTTAAAGGGTAAGAATGGGGGGGGAGAAGATCAAATGACACAAACACTTTCCTGTCACTCAGCTAATACTACCCAATTCTGACCACTGATCACTGCCCAGACTTGGCCATTTCAGCCACAACTCTCCAGGAGAGTTTGGCACCGACATGCCTTGGAGGTCTGAGACTGCCTGACATCTCAGTGCATCATGTTATTATACAGGTTTCCCCTATCAATGTATGTGTCCCTCTCTGCCTGATCCCACAATAATTCTGTCTGTTCCAATTGGAAGAGCAACCTGCATTATTATGGGGCTCTTAATAGAGATTTTGAGCGCTTTGTAGAAATGACACTTCAAACTCCACAGAAATGCTGTCTGCATTTAATCAGTCTTGTGAGCTGATTCTATGCTGAGCTGCAGTCTCTGCCTAACCTTCCTATTGTGATCCAGGCAAATGTCAATAGAGCAATTTCACAGATGGGAAACAACGGCAGAGAGGTTATGTGACATGCCCAAGGGCACACCTAGAGTCTGTGGAAGAGGTAGGACCAGAATTGAAGCCTTGTGTCTGCCATTTCCTTACATAACACACTAGACCACTGAGCCCAGCCAGCGACAACTTCTACCCAGGGCAGTGCTGCTGTGGAGGCTCTCTGGGTTACCTCTGAATAACACACTCACCTGTAACACAAGCAGTGGATTATCCCAAACCATTTACATCTGCAGTCCAAGGCTGATTGTTTTGTGAAGCAGTAACTCGGGCATTTCAGTGAACATGGCACTGCCACCAGGCTGGGCTTGAGCTAGGCTGTGCTAAATGCCTGCTACCCACCCAGCAAGAGAACACCCTTACCTCGTCTAGATGCTGGGACAAGCTCTTCTCTCTCAGCTGCAGCATGTTTCCAATGAGGGGTAAAGCAACAGGCCCAGGTGGCAGCTTCCCACTTCCAGGCGTCTTTCTCCACGTGAAGAGAAAGAGAAGGCAAGAGACACAAATGACCAGGAACAGAGTGGTTGTTCCCAGCGGGTCCATTGTCGGGTGTAGCAATGGTTCAGGGATTATTTGTATTTCAGACATCTCCCTTTTTATATTCTGCACAGCAAAGGTGGGTGCAAGGAGTTGGCCAATAGGAGCGCTCAGTGGTAACGACTATGAAAGATGATCAGAGTTATGAAACTAGGAACAAAGTCCTTTGAACTTTTAATAATAGCTCATCTCCCCTTCTCCTGTGTACTCATTGATGGAGATTGATATTTAACCCTATATAGAATTACTGTAAAGTAGCCCATACTGCCATGAAACGACCCGCTCTCTCCAGCCGTGTGGTTAAACATTTCTCAGATGCGTGGTGCCAGCTGGAACATGTGTAGGATAAGGATTCCTTTTCATGTTGTGCTCCAAGATTTAGTCTATGGATATAGGATCAGCTGACACTTGAGAAAAACTGGATATTGAAATTTGTTACAAATTGAGACCGA